AGTTGGGACTTTCTTAAAACCTAAATATACACTTCCTTCGGATATAAAATATGAAGACAATGTGATTTTCTACCAAACGCGTAGGAGTAAACATACTTTTGCACGTTTTCCATCAAATATATTTGGATTTATAAGACTATCGAAAAGCTATGAGAAAAATGCATGCTATTTAAGTAGTCATTTTTACCGAGTGCGACTTTTGCAGGTCAAAAATGAGTGCATCCAAAAGTTGACATCCTGGAGAGTCCAAAATGCTATAGGATTATGCTGCATGCTAATCAGTATTACAACCTCACCTAAGTAATTCTTCCTAGTCGGAAACGCATTCCAGAATCTCGGCCAGCATTTCATGACATTGGTCACGCACTGTACAGTATCGTTGGCGCAAAAAATGTAGGCATTGCAATTTACTTTTCCATTTTGGCCTGTTCTCAACTTAAGTACTACGTGCTCGTACTTGATGCACCTTGTACTTTATCCCAGTCGCAAAAATGCCTCATCCACCACGCGTTTGGAGATAGCTAATCTAGTGAGCCCGACAAAGTCCACTGTCCACTGTTCCAGTAACCACCTTCACGTCTTCGTGGAAGGCTTTTCGTCGACATTGTCGCCCTCATGAGACAGGAGATGATGCAGGACGAGTCCAACCCCTCTTCCACCAATTTGCCTTTCTTTAATGGCCTAAGAAGCCATGACAAGGTAGCCGCAGGTGCGGACTGTCGCACTAGAAACCGCGCCAGTGTGCTGATCTCGAGGGGTCGCATCTGACGATATGCTCCACAGCAAGGTGAAGCAGGCACGGTGACTTGGGCGTGATGTAGTTAATAGTGGCAGTTTACGTGCACAGCATCTACCGCATTCACTCTTTCTCCCCATATGAGCCCGGTGTCAAGACCGGATGCGGGGAGGGCACAGGTAGATGGCGCGGCCTAACACGCACCTTGACGCTACACTCCGCACTCCCTGATCCACAACAAACACTCGACCAGAATTTTGACCAATAACAACGGCAGAAAAGACGTGGATGACTGGGGAGCCATGCACATGACCATTATACCCAGCGGGGCGTCGGCGAATCCACCGCCAGAGAACCAGGTACCGGAGAACTGCCAGCACACACCAGGCTGCGAGGGTCATGGTTTGCTGATACTGGTATAGCACACGCTTAACGACCTCTTCACCTGGTGCAAAAGGTTGCAACCACAAGCAGGGTGACAAATCATTCGAAAAATCTACGCCTATAAGAAAAAGATCAAATCAAAGACCGGTTGTATGTCCTCCCATCCCACTGGCCGTAGCTATGGGTTTATTGAGTGGGTTAGATGTGGGCCGTGCTGGGCGTCTATGGGTTGAACGAGTTGGTGCGACGGTCATCAGCAAAGGTCTGCTACCGGCTGGGCAGGCTGTCGGGTCAGACGAGCAAGCAGCCGCGGACTAGCGGTGACAGTGCTATCAAGGCGCGGAAGGCTACGGTCTCGTACATCGACTGCCTCACAAAATACCGAAAAGACTGGCAGCGACACTGAGGACCGGTATTAGACGAGTTTGTTTGCCATCGCTGTCTTGCGCTCGGGCTCTTCAGTCAAAGCCCATGGAAATCAACAAGTCCGCAATCCGGTTCTAGCGATGCGAATAAATAGGAGGCAGGCCAGAAGACTCAGGCAGGAACGAACCTTGTTATTGGAGACTGAGGGATCTGTGTTCCCCACGCATGATACCCAAAATTTGACGGAAAGCAGCCTTCATCACCACAATATGGGCGTCGGTTGCCTGTCTAAAGCTCCAATCGTCCATTCAGCCTCGCGGAAGACCCTAGGATCAGCTCTCACTTCATTCTATACCACAGAGGCCCACGCATATTTTCTGACTAACACGGTGTGGCGATCACCCTTCGTAACAAGTAGTCCGAGCGCCATGCTTTCCGTTCCGGCTTGATCTTCGATACCAAAATGATAAAAAAAAGTCCCGCTTCGTTATCCAGAACCAGCCGTTTGCCGCGAACACCTACTTCCTGCATCGTCGCAAGTATCTGCTGTCTCGGCACGGTCATGCGACCAGCCAGACTGACTACATCCTGGTCATCTTAGAGTATCGTGCCTAGCTGCGTAGCAGATCAACGCGTGGTACCGAATCAGCATTGCTTATCGTTCGAATCAAAATTACGGCCCTATATTGCAACTGAACATAAAATGCTTCACAAGATGCTTCGATATTGTAAACAATTCCTCCTAACCGTTAGATACTCGGTCTGGCGTTTTACATTCTGTACATTCTGTCACCCACCCCATTCAATTACCCCACCGACTGGATTTTATGAAGGATCCCACGCGAGAAACAATGGCAGCCAACTTAAAGTGAACAGTGTCAAATATCTTAAGGCGTGGCTGCTGTCAAATGAATAGAGTAAGGGTAGCATTGTCTCCTGAACTGATGCTGCTCATCGGGTTTTCATGTTTACGAGGTGTCTGGGCCCGACGCCACATCTCCGTAGCTAAAACGATGCGTTTGTTGAGGGTGTCCTTCTGGTCGGTCTACTAATGTGGGCTGTCAATGTTGGGCTGGGCACGCGAGAGACAAATGGCGACTGGAGAGATCGACAACCAACAGTTGAAAACCGTTCATCGAGTGAGGTGTACCTATTTTACCTGAGATGGGTCAGACCGAATAGCATTACCGACAAAGACAAGGGAGGCTGGGGTGGCCATTTCTGATCCATTGGCCGTGGTCAGCCAGTCATACCCAACCCCGAGGTGTGAAACACCTGGAAATCGATCATGCGACCTGTTTGGGGCGTTAGTTTTCTAACTAACAGGTCGCAAGATCGACCCCCAGGTGTTCGACACCCCCGAGTTGGGTATCGACAGCGACAGCTAATAAGCCAGAAGTAGCCATCCCAGTCTCCCTTGTCTTTGTCCGTAATGCTATTCTGCCTATATCCCGCGTCGCTGTGGCTGCTGGCGGGGCTCGAGAGAGAGCCTCAAAGTACAACGGGATGAGTGAGTTCCGTAACACGATCGGTGAGCGCAGTTCTACCATGAGTCCGACCGTATTCATCGCATCCGCGGGTATCACTGATAATTCAATAATGATGACTATGGCGATTTAAATATGCTCCTCACCGTTCACATTCAGTTCAATGTTCGTGTCCTTGATTCGGCGGCAGTGGCTGCCCAGAGACGTAACAGGAGACAACTAAGCTTAGCTCAGAGTCTTCGGGGGCGTCAAAGTGTTTCTTGGACCTTCAGCATCTGACTTCCACCAAGACTGGTTGATATACGTATACCACTGCCGCAGGTCCTCACGTGCGGAGACACAATCCACAGTTATTGCGGCCGGTTAGATTAGAAACAACCCCAGTTGTACAAACAGTAGATTGTGCAGCGACGAGCGGACCAGACAATGAGACACTACTACTGGATCAAGTGGAAACATAGAGATCTCATTTGCAGGTGCGTCACAGATCGCTCAGTCAGACAGCTGACTTCGCGCAGCTCGGATATGTGATAAGGCTATCAAAAGCGAAAAGTTAATTTGCCGAGAACGGCGTGAACACGGTTTCGAGTAAGAAATGGCTCTTAGAATAGACAGTTAAGCTGAGTGACATTACCATACTTATGGAGTCCGTGAAAATTACAACCATTCCCACTCCACTTAATAATTGTGACATTTTAAAACCAACCATACTATCATACTCGGAGAAGAACATGCCACTTTTCGTCATCGGGCAGACGTTGTGATTAAAACATTAGCATATAGACATGCTATTCCTTGCTTTCTTGTACAGCTATATTCGGAAAAGTGTACACGAGAATCTGGTACCAATACTATATTTACGACCATAATACTCAGACCCTGCCTCTCCTATGTAGTTTATCGATGTCGAAAAACTGTCCTGATGGCAGGTTCGTTTACCAGTGCAAATACAGGCAACAAAAGAATGAAGACACGAAAATGAGACCGAGATACCTGGAACTCAAATTACAACGATACCTCACAGAGTGCCCCTTGCAGTAGAACCACCGGCTTTCGCCATAAGTATAAAATGCCAAGACCGCGGTTTTAAGTCAAAGAATGCTTTAACTAACAGATGGTCGTAAAAGTCATTAAGGCATTTTACAAGGAAAATTCACCAAGCCGTGAGCAGAAAACAACATATCGATCAAAAAGGGGGGTCTACAAGTGTTCAGTCCATTTAAAAGAGGATCCTGAGGTCAGTTTTCATCCCATATTTGGCTATAATACGGAAGCTAATCACTCGCCTCTCGATCAGGCCGGACGTCATCAAAAAGTTTCTAAAAATGTGAGAAAACTAAACAACGGGTACCCCGCGGTTAAGGTAAGCAAACAGCTCGTCAACTCCTCTATCCAGACAACGTTCGAATG